ATTATATATCCAGAAGCAGAAACAAGGTAGCACAAACACAACACCCCCATTTGGATTCAGTGGTTCTCACTCACGGCCAACCTTGTTTCATCATTAACCCCTCCCCCCATCTACTTCTACTCCTCCTTCCACCTGGGTTATTTTGAAGTAATAATAACTTATTCATAAATATCTTAACATATACCACTAATAAAGTTTCCTTTAAAAATATTCAATTCTATTACCACACTTAAAATATTCTAATAATCAAAGTTTCGTTACTTACAAAAGTGTGTTTAAATTTTTTCTACAATTACCTCAAATATTATTCTTTTACATTGCAGAATTTTCAACAAAATCCAGGTAAGGTCCATATTCTGCTTGATAGAGTTCTGAAAACTCTTTTGATCCATAGCTTTCTTCTTTTCTTTCCTTCCTTTCTCTTTCCTTTTTCCATTTAAGAAACTTACCATTTGTATTTAAATTGCTAATGGTCTGGAGTCTGATTATTCCATTACCATGTGTTACTTACTACACACCATATTTCTGTCCTTTTGTGAATTGTTAAATCTAGAGGATTCATCAGTTTCAGGTTCAATATTTTTTGAGAAGAAGACATTCTACATGGTATTGCACACTTTTATTGGAAGCATATAATGCCTACATGCTTCCCTCTTTGTGATATTAGTAAATCATCGCTCAGATCCATTATTAGGCACAGACATCCAATTGTAATTCATATATTTTACTTAATTTCCACTATTATATGACCTCATTGGATCCTTCTGCATACCTAAAAATTTGATGTTAAAAGTTAACAAAATGAATAGAATTAGAGAAACTTCTAGCTCACTTTGTGTTCTTATCTGGATATCGCAGCTAGCCAACTGAAGGGACTACATTATGGTTCTCTAAGAAGTACATACAGCATGGCACTTGGGGCTGGTAACAAAGAATTGTTTTTTTATGTGTTCATGGAAATGGAAATGGTGTTGGCATAAATCACGCCCAAGTGTTTCGAAGACAAAACTCATTAACTCCTGGTAAAGGAATCACTTTGCCTAAGGACCCTTAAAGATAAGCAATGGGTCTCTGCAACCTTGTAACCTCAATGAGAAAAAATGTGGCAGCTCCTGAAATCTAGGTAAAATTCTGTGCTACCTGGCTAGGTTAAACACACACACACACACACACACACACACACACACACACACACACACACACACCCCAAACAAAAGAAACCAACAGGGAGTTATGTAGCTGTCAGGTTACTGCCTCTGCCTGGCATATGAACTGTGACATGCTTTTATACAATAGCCTGTGCTGTTAGGTAGAATAAAACACAAGAGATTGCTACTTAGAAAGAATTTTCCTCTTTGAGAATCAACATCCAACATTTCCAATAAAGATCATTTGCTCCATCAATAGACAGAAACATGAGACAAAGCTATTCTAGAGAAGGAGGTAAAGTCCTTTGAATAAGGAGAAGAAATGAAAAGAACAGTGGGTAATTAACAGAATTTGGTTTTGCACTTTGGAAGCATTTTTGTATGATAGACACACGCTTCACGGTTGTGGCAGTAAAACAGAATAAAAGGTGCTAGCTTTACAGGGTTCTATTTAGAAAGATGCTAAAAAAGGGACATATTGTATTTGGATTTCTAGTTTTATTAATGATTTCAAAAGAAGCTCAGCATTTAAAAACAATTCTAAATTAGGAGAATTGAAAGCCAGAGTTAGAACCCAGAACAAATATTGAAAAATCTAGACTCAAAATGCAATTTTAGTACAACAAATTGTACACCCATCTCTGGGTGCATAGAAACAATACAATTTACCCAGGGTCACAGGAATTAAAGCCCTCTAAAAGTAGGGACTAAGTCTATCATTTACTGCTAAATCTCTAGCATCCAACACAATGCCTAGTATACAGTAAGTGTTCAACAAAAATGTGTTAGATGAACAAAAGCTCTGAAACTAAAACAGAAAGTCCTAATTGTGAACTAAAACCTAAAAAAGGAGAATGGTAAGCTGAATCCTGACAAACCGTCATTTCAAAAATCTTGTTGAAGCTGCTTAATAAACGTTGGGTTGATACTCCCCTTGTCTAGAAAGTTGTAAAACAACTGGAGAAGGTCCAGAGCCAAACCTGACTTGCTGCAGATTACAGAGAATGACAAGCAGATTTACTGTTTGCATTCCTATCTCTGCCTTTTGGTGAGCAGTTTCCGTTCCAACAAAGTCTTTTCATTTTTAATTTACTCTGATATTTATGTATAATGATTTAATCATATCATGCCAGTTTAGCCTTTGGGGTGTCCTTGACATGCATCTTTGGATTGCCCTTTACATCTATTACATGCAAACTGGCCTGAAATCATTCCTGCTGGCGTGAGCCTCTCAGGTAAGAATTGTGGTTTCACTTCTTGCTCCAGAAACAGCCTTCTTCCCAGACTCTGTTTAAAACCAGCCGCCCCCACCCAGACGTCTTCTGTAAGCTTGTCCAGACATGGGGAACATCATTAGGCCAGGTCTTCCAGTCATTCCATTGCTTGGAAAGCAATCATTTATAGGCGTTTGGTGTTCTGTCTGACATCCGTTTGATGCTGGAGTTCCAGCCTTTGTCTCAATGAATCACTTGTCAGGGAAGGTTGCAGCAGTGAAGGCTGTCAGTGAAGGCTGGATTTCACACCTAAGGGAAGGGTTGCCTGTGATGTAAGTGATCTTAGGCTTTTTGAAAGACCACAGGGCGCTCTCCCACCCCATCCCACAGGGTGGGGAAACAGGGAAATGAGGGAGACTGGGAACCTGATGCTTATTCAAGGCTTATTTTGATCTGTCCCCATAGGCTCAGCCAGGCTTTCTTCTCTGGGAACACACTGCCAACTCACCTCCATGGTTGGGATGTTGCTGTTAGAACGAACCACACTAAAATATTTGTGTAGAATATTTTGAGGGCATCGGATAGAATTAAAGAAGAGATCTTTGAAAAGGAAATGAGAAAAAAAGGGACTCACCGTTCTTGGGTAGTTTGCAAAACTCACTTTTTAAAAGTGCAGTTTGATGGCTGTATCCACATTGGTTCACGTCTAGCTAGAGTAGTAGGGGAGGAGGGAAGAGGTCAAGAGGGAGACAGGGTTATAAACCTGGCTGAGACTAGCAAAGCATTAAATCTAAGCGATCCTTTTTTTATTATCCGGAGTACCAGTGGCTCAACAAGATATATATTTATAGCAAGTAAAGTTGGTTTGAAAACCACAAGGCCCACAGTAGCCCTTGTAAGAAATGGCTGTTCATACAGTGTCCTACAGAAACACTCATGTGTAATCTGAGGACGTGAGCCAAGCAAGAAAGGGCACACTAAGCCTGAAAATACCACAGGAGGCCTTTCTATGCCAGGACCCAGCGAATAGAGCACGCCTCATGGAACAGAGATGGGATGCGAGATGAGGTTACAGAGGAAAATGGGTAGAAAATCATGAACTTTTTAATTCAGTTTTGTAAAAAAGAAAAAAAGGATGCTATATATGTTGATGTTGGGGAAGTTTCTTCTTGGTGACTTTCAGGCTTTTTGCCTAGCCTCATAAAGTCACATGAGGAAGAGGTTGTCACAGACAGACAAACTCTCAGGATGGAAAGTCAGAATTTCTAGATCTGATGAAACAATGGGTTTCAAAGGAAAGTCTTAAAGTTTTCATTCAAAAAGAGTAGGAAAGGGAAGGGGAACTGATATCCCATCTGAGCCTTCTGAGTCTTACAAGGGATCCTTTTCATGTACCTAAACTAGTACAAAGGAGTGGGGGTGGGGTAGGGTGCCAAAACTTGGGCTCATCAGTCACTTCATGCAACTGAGCTGGAAAACATTTAGCCCTGAGATGCAAATCATTTAATCACACAGACTCAGTGAAGACCAAAAGCTGTGAACCCTTGGGAGCCAGGAATTCCCAACCTGATGTGGCAATACATTTCACAGCATGAACTTCAGATCTCCAACCCAGCCTGGGGAACAAGAGAAGGCAGGGACCCCATAGTCTAGTTTCTGCATAACAAAGACAGAGCCTCACTTTCAAACACACTGCAAATGAGGGATCCCAAAGGGCAACTCTCACTTCCAGCCCCGCCTCCCCATACATACCTTTCACCTTAACCGTTTGTTCCATTAGGTCGGAAGGTTAATGAAAATGCATTCTAAAATTATAAAGATGAAGTCTGGCACGAATACTGGATTTCCGTGAGTGTAAATATGCAATCTGGACATGAAGAAAACCACAGTTGCTTCAAAATCATATAGTTCTGTCTATACTTGTTTGGGTAAGTCGGAGATGTTTTAAGAAGTTGATAACTGCTCCTCTCTTACCTTAAAAATGAGACTGGGAATGCAGATCATCCCCGTTTAAAACTAAAGTGTTGTAAGCTCTGTGTAGTCAAAGAATAAGGGTCAGGATAATATTCCATTTGGGACAAAACAGGAGTTAGCATTTCCATTTTTCATCTTCTATTAAGAATTTTCTTTTTGCCTTTCCTTTTCTTCTCTTTCTTCCACCTACTATTTGATTTTACTTTCCTACTGTCTTTTATGGATTACTTTTATCCTTAGGGATGGACCTCTAAATACATAGTATTTCTTTTCCAGTCAGTTACAAATACCTACTAATTTCCCAAGGGATTTAACAATCATTGAAAGAAATAGTCAACAAACAGTGCTACTCTAGAAAGTTGCTTCTATGACCAGTATTATAAAATGATCCTTTGAAGGGTGACACTTTAACAACTCAAACCTGTTCACTTACTCTGAAGGAACAGCTCCCTGAAAGTGAAGAGCTGCTGAAGACAAAACAAAATGGAAGATCCTTGCTTATTTTTCTGTTAAGGTTTTCCAATGGCTTGAAAGAAATGTGAATTAATCTGTTTGGACCCGAAAGCAGCAAAACTCATTTTGAAGACTTAAACAGGCCACACAAATGTAAACAGAAGCCTGGGATTCCCAAATGTTAACGACGAAAGGAGTCAGTCCCAAAACATCAGTTTTACTCAGCGTTTATTTTCATTTGAAGACAGTGGTAATCATATATAAATCAAGGACAACAGCAAGTTCTTCTTGCCTGGCAAATGTCCACATGAATCTGTTAATCCCTAAGTATAGATACAGTATTTTTAATAGAAAGACAGGGCAATATGGCAGTTAATAGCAACCAATACTGTAAACTACAGTAGATACAAAGTTTTATATAAATTAATTGCCATTTTAAAAAGGCAACTGCTGTAGCTAAGAAGGTACAAAAACTGGTAACTTCCATAAATATAACAAGAAGCTAAGTGAAAGAATACACAACAGACTGTTTTCCCTATATAATATTTGAGTATTCAAACTAAGACACCTGTGGCACCTTACTGGAAAGTAGGAATAGGACATACACCCCCACTCCCAGCCCCCCCACCCAAGCAGGCCCTCCCCCTCCCCCCACATGGATTTCCAAAACACAGCAAATTCTAGGGTTACAAGGACAGGATGCCGCTCTGAAAGCAGCAAGACAGTGAGCTCCGACCTGCTAGACAAAGAAGGAGCCTTATTGACAGTTGTAAAGCATTAGGCGTCAGACAGAAACTTGTCAAAAACAGCTGTTGTTGGGTACTGATTGATAATGTTTTCATTCTGACGGCTGAGACACTGCAGACAGTCTTGGGTCTGAGGAGAAGCCCATCGCTGGCGCGCACATGAACACACACAGACAACGGGAAGTCATTTAACAGATGGCTTGGGCACACTCAGCCACAGTATCTTAAAAAGACAACATTCTACATTTAATGAACTTGCAGGGGAAGCAAGGCCTAATAATCACTTATTGTTTCTCAGAAGATGAGCACAATAGGATGAAATGAAAACAAGAATCGTGTAACTGATCATGGAATACAAGTTCTGTACTGCTCACAGATTATTACACAGTGCTGGAAATATTCAAGGATCATGCAGGCAAAACTGTATATGCTATGGATCTTTTGTGATCCATGACAGTGGAGGGGAAGCATAAAGAAGTGTTGGATCTTTCAAAGGTGACATCATTAAAACCTGTTTGTAAGATAAAACCACAAAACTGCCTCTGAATGACGTGAAGGGTCTGAAGTATGTCACCCTTTAATACAGTGGGGATCTGTGCTATTTGGGTATCGGTCTACACTACTTAGAAATTACTGCTCAGGTGTAGGGAGCACTTTTCTATTATTTGGCCACTTAGTATTTTAATAAGTGGTCAGAAGTCTATAAAATGTGCCAAAGAGTATTTTATCTATGAACCTCAATATCATAGATTATTCCTGATTTAGAAAAGGTCAAAGGCATTAAACCTTACTAAAACTACATTTATCTCTATGCAATTTTATCATTTAAATAACATGGAAAAAATTAGTTCCAAAGACTGAATCCAGGCCCTCAAATTATCTGCTGCAGGCCCAGCATATTTTTAAGGGCACAATGAAACCCCTGAAAATAGAGGTTTATAATAGAAATACTGATAGACCTTTAACTACTAGATGGAGGCTTTAATAGACTCCATCAAACTACATTAGCACTTAATGAATAAATATACAGATGATTCTGTCTTCGATATCTTTGTCAAATCCATTCCAGCTTAAACCCAAATGAGTATAAACTATATTTTGCTTGGCTGTTTTAAAATTTTAATCTGTTATTTTAAAAATTATTTTCTCTATTTGAAACGCTTTTGAATTTTAGAAAAAAGGTATGTATATCATGTTGCAGTTTGACTTAATGCAGGCTAATTATTCCATTAAAAATATTTGAGGGCACAATCAAATGTACTCAGTGATGCATGCATTATGCCTAAATTTCCTCCAATTCTTCAAAATTTAAATCAGTGTCTTTGCTCTTAAAAGAGGGAAGAAAGTGAGACCCAGATATAATCAAGGAGACACTGCGCGCCTGGCCTTTAAGTTCTTCAAAGCTAATTTTACTACAGCAGGATATTCCTTTATGATAAGATGATAAATTAAAATTTTTGGTACTCATTTTTCACTCATACTCTATAAGGTCCATATATAAAGAAGCAAATAAGATAGAGTAAAATGAAAACAAAAACCAAAAAAACAAAAACAAAACCAGATCCCAAGAGATCCTGAAAAATGATGTATATAGTATGTGGAGTTCCAGTGACACAATACTCCACTCCCAAACCAGGGAAAATTAGTCAAGGTACTGAGTCTTTCTGACTTCTTCACAAGGGATTTGATTTCTGTGAGCCATGAATTCCATCCATTTTCGCACAAAGTATAAAAGAAATGCTTAGAACAACAGGAGGAAGAGACATTCGGTGAAGATAACTAGTGGTAAACAGAGAATAAATTCTTTCTCAGTAGTGTGTACGTAACATTAATGCTGATGATAATTCACCTGACTTACAGAATACTCACTTTAACAGAGAGAAGAGAGTCTGAAATAACTAGGAGAAAATAGATAGTGGAGTCATGATAGTCTTGATAACAACATAAAATTAAAACAAGAAGCTGACATGACAGGTTCAAGGCCTTTGGGAACCTGCTGTTTTCTTCCAGATTTCACATTCTCATAGCTTCGTGGTCTTTTTCTTCTAACAAATTTATCAGCTGGGAGAAACTTTCTTTCAGCACATCCGTGTCCTCCAGTGAGCAGGGCTGAAGAATCCAGCGTTTTCCTCGTGCAAGTGGTTCAAGTTCAAAATATTTTTTGATCTTGAGGAAAAAAAAATATGTTATTAATTATATTAGAAAATTTCACATACCAAAATTGTGAGTGATGAAGTAGGGGGATTTCAAGGAGGATTTATATGAATTATCTTGTCTAGGGTTTTCTAGAATTCTATCCAAAGCTGCTATTTTAATGGGGGTTATGTTCTGTGACCTGAGAGTGTTTTCTTTAGGGCTGGGCGATCTGCTTGCAAGACACCATTCCACCTATCCCCTCCACAGCGCGGGAGGTCTGATGCAGTCTCAGAAGAGTTATATGCACTCTGTCACATGCCACATTATACTGCAGACACTTTTAAAGTTTCAATTGTGTGTGTGTGGTATTAGGGATCGAATCCAGTGCCTTTGCATTGAGCTAGCTCCTTTTAAAATTGTCTCTTTATTTTGAGATCAAGTTAAGTCATTAATTGCAGAGGCTGGGATTGAATTTGTGATCCTCCTGCCTCAGCCTCCCACAGGATTACAGGAGTGCACCAACATGCCTGGCAAAAAGTTTCCATATAGTGAAAATAATACTAACAAAATAATGCTAGCAAAAAAAAAAAAAAATGCTAGCTTTTTACCATCTCAGCCTGATGAATTATTAAATTGGTGAAAAGGCCAAGTGTGGTGGTGCAGATCTTTAATCTCAGCACTTAGGAGGCTGAGTCAAGAGGACTGCTTGAGTTTGAGGCCAGCCTGGACTGTAATAGTGAGTTCAAGGATGGCCTGAACTACGTAGTGAGACACTGTCTTAAAAAAAAAAAAAAAGATACTGGTGACAACCTATCATATGTACTATATCAATTAATCAAGACAATTATTTGACCATTAAGCACATAAAAAAGTCTAATTTAAATTATATTTTTCTCTATTTTAAATTTGTAGTGCCTACTTCTGAGACCTAGGAAAGTGTTTTCTAGGAAAGAGGACAGAAACTGAGTAAGTGCGCACCTGTGCATGCAATATACACATACAGAGATTTAAATAAATTTACACACATGCATAATCTGCCAGCTTTTTTTCCTTCCCATCTTGAATTCTCTGGAAGGAAAAACGCAAGACCTTACCACAGGTTATATGGGGTGTTATATTTGCTATCCTAAAACTTATTCAATGAATAGTAACAAATCACTCCTGTTGTACTGGCTCTGATACTAAGAGGGTATAGTATTACCAGCTCCATACTGTGATTCAATATCAAATTGTTCAGACTTCCAGAAGTATTGGTAATCATTTCTCAAAGGATACAATAAAGTCCAAATCTCACAAAGTCCCTCATTCAGACATACTAAATCACACTGAAACAGAACTTTGTATTTATGGCCCAGCACAATTTTACAGAACATAAAATGTAGTCTGTAGTAACAGCAGAAGAGGCATTGTTCAAAGACATTCTTGGCCAACAAATTCCACTGGTTAGTCCAACAAATCCCATGTGCCATAGAAAATTTCAGGGTCTTACTTCAGTCAAGATCCCCCCTCAAAAAGGGCCTCAATCTTATGCTATTCCCAGATGTGGTTTCATTTTACCTGTACTACGTAAGCATTTAACAGCATAGTTACCAACCAAAATGATATTAATGTATGTGTACATTTTTCATATGAGCAAACAGATGTTGTTATGGTTTGTGTCTGGATGTCCCTGCAAAGTCTCATGCCATCATGGGGCAGCCTTCTAGAGTTTATGATTGATTCGTGGTCCAATGTTGGGATTATGCATGTGAGTGCTATACCTGCCCTGGGGTGGGTAGTTTGCATACAATGTAAGGGAGGGAAAGAGGCTGCTGCTCCTCCCTTTTTGCTCTGGTTGCTTTTGCTGTCTTTCTCTGCCATAAACTGTTGCCCTCTGCTATGTGCCACTCTGCCTGGGTGCCAGCTGAGTATGGACTGAAACCTCCACAAACTGTGAGCCAAATAAACCTTTCTTCCCTTAATTCTGGGTGTCAGGTATTTTGTCTCAGCAATGACAGAAAAGTAATTGAGACATATGCATATATGAAATACTATTTTTGTGCTCATTTAGGACTCATAAAATTGCTTACATTTTATAGTTTAAGTGTGTCCAAGAGTCCTCCTATAGTCTGCAAATTCACAATAAATACAAATTTTAAACAAAAGAAGCCTATGGGAATTGAAGGACCCTCATTCCTTCCGATTCTGAAGGGTAATGAGAATTTTATTTATGGATCAGAAAATGGCTCTATAACCTCAGTACAATTTTTTTTTTTTTTTACCCGATATATTTCCCAAATCATGTTAAAGAGGATTCTTTAGTTGCAAATACAAACTCCATTTATTTAGTGTATTTTATTTAGGGATCTGAAAACAATTTACCTCCAAATGAATTTGAAATTGCTTGGTGAGAACCAATACTAGACACAGTTCTGCCCCATGAAAGGGAGAAATTGCCAGTCAGCTGACCAGGAAGCCCTCAGGCAGCAGGGCTAGGGGTGTTGGAAGGAGAAACAGGGAGAAAACAGAAATGAGAGATGTTAGCCTCCTTGATTCTTTCACAAAGTAAAGCTTCAGACTGTACTACTGACACTGCTATGTTTATGAAACACTGGATATGTGTGTGTGTTTACACATGTGCACACTACTGGTGATTGAATCCAGGGCCTTTGTACTTAGCTACAATCTCCAGCGCTTTTTAAATTATTTTTTTTTATTTTGGGGCAGGGCCTTGTGAAGTTTGTATGTTGTCTAGGTGGTCTCAAACTTTTCATCTTTCTACTTCATCCTCCCACAATGCTAGGATTACCAATGCGCACCCCATGCCTGGTTGGATTCTGGTATGTGATTCATAATGTTCCTATCATATGAAGAACAGCATGTAACACCCACGATTTGGTACATAAAAGAAGTTGCACCTTTGTTACATTTTCTAATCTCAATTCTAAGAGGTGATCATTTTAATTACCAGTAGTAACCAGGAAAAGCACTAGTTGTAAGACATTCGATAATATTAAAACAAAGAAAAACACAAGCCAGTAAGTAAGTGTATCTCATTAACAATATTTTTTCTGAGTAGTTTATTTAAAAATTTCACAGAATTGCTCTATCTTGGAAGTACATTTACAGATTATATGAAATAATGCTGGACTTAAATTATCACAAAACATTATTAGTAATCTGTGATATTTTTGCATATCCAGCCAGAAACAAAAAAGAGGTTCAGCTACACATTAGGTAGGTTTACAAGCAACTAAATTTACAGTCATTCATGAGACATACTTGGAAGAAAATAAAGATATATGTAGATATGTTCCAGAAATTGTTCCACTGAATCCTAAACAGGCGAGGCAATGGAAACTGTGATAATGGGGTGGTCACTGGATAAAGGAGCCTAATGGTGTCAAACTGACAAACATGGCTAGGTAACTTGAGATTCTCAGACCTGTAACCTAAACGGGTACCTAAATGGCCATATTCACCCCACTAGTACTCAAAGCGTTCCATACAATTTATCATATTAATTTACAAATAAGATTTGCCACACAATGATATTCAAAGAATAGAGAGTGTTTGCTGCTGGAACACTGCTTTCTGTTACCGAGTTTCATGTAGTATTTCTAAGTGCAGTATGAGAGGGTGGTGAAGACTTCATGCTGTAACTAACTCTTGTTAGAACAACGTTTCTATTTTCTTATATTAACCTGAACTTCATATTTTACTTCGCCAGTATTATTATTATTATAAAAACTACTCTGAGTCACATTTGACTTATCTACCATTACTTTTTTGTCCTTGTATATACTGTAATGTATCATTTTAAAGAATGGTGTTTTAAGTTTGACCAACACAAACAATATAGTTATGGTTGATAATTGCCTTTAAAATGTAAAAAACTGCCTATGATTTAAGGATCTGTTTTTTATGATGAAGATAATTTTTTTTTGTTTTTTTTGAGACAGGGTCTCACTATGATGCAGATAAATTATTTGAAGGGCATAGTCTTCTCAAGATAAAAATTTTAAGACAGTGTAAGGGACAACAAATCTTTTGAATACTTCTATCAAATGCTTGAGTGTCACAGTTAGCTGGAAACTGCTAGAAGGAAACAGTGATTGTTTCACGTTGGCTCTGGAGACAGCACTTGGGGGAGTGACATCAGAATACAGCTGCCTGGCAACCTGTGGTCATTTAGCTATTTTCGGGATAGCCACAGAGAGCGGGCATTTGTTAGTAGCCATGTGTCCACCCTAGAGATAGGAAAACAAAGCCACCGTATGCAGCCAACCTGTTTTAGCTGTCAGTCTTTCTTCATTTGTGCCATTGTAGGGTGAGCACCATTACTGCATGTCTTTTACTTTCAGTTCTTATGAATCCAGTGTGACTAAATTTTTAGGAGGCACAAGAATAGTTTCTGAACTATGATAACTGGTCTTTCATTCTTAAAAACTTCAAACCTCACCTTATTGATAAAGATAAACTACTTATCTTTTCTATATTTTTGTTATTAAGCCATGTAAGCAGTGTGTGTCCTGGGGTGACCTAGCTTTCCTTTAGGCACTGTAGGTAATGGGGAGATAGAACAGTCCAGCAAGAAATTACTTAGTGTTTTTATATGAAACAGAGTTAGGTTCTAAGCATGGGTATTTATAAACAGAGGTTTGACCCACATGAATGTGTGGTAAGATACTATAAAACAGTCAGGGGCTGGGGATTTAGCTCAGCGGCAAAAGCGCCTCCCTGGCAAGCGCAAGGTCGTGAGCTCGGTTCCCGGTACCGGAGAAAAACCAAAAAAAAAAAAAAAAAAACAGTCATGGTATATGACAATTTTTAATTGTGTGAGACTCTGCCGTGCATTACAGAGGATGCTACTTCTAGTTCTAAGGAGCCCTTCCTAGGTCTAAAACATCACCTGGGGGTGGCCCTGCCCTATTGGGAACTTGTCCTCTAGCCCGTGTAGAATGCAGGTTCCTCCTGCCCCTGCCCGTTGCTACTGATGGAAGCTGCTTCCTCCATGCTTCCCCTGATCTAAGAACAACATATGCTTTCCT